ATTGTGGAGCAGTTATGATCTGTTCTCCATGGACAGTGTACCAACCTCAAGCAAAGAATGGAGCCTTGAAAAGTTAGAGGTCTTTATGAAATGGTGAGTGTGGAGGCAAATTCCATTGTCTGCCAAATAGCTTTTCAGTATTTTTGTGCCCCAAGAACTTTCCATATTTCTGAAAAACTGTGAATTAGACATGAAAGAGACTCAGCCTAAATCACCTAAGAATGCATCATAATATGTCTGGAACTAAATGATGGATGATAATTCTGGGGGTGGGAAAAGGGGAGAGACAGAGGCAAAAGAAGAGACATGGGTCATGTAGGATAGAAACAAGATATTTGCCCTGTGCAAAAAGATCATCACTTTATTTAGCAATACAGAGTCACAAGAACTACAGGTAAAAGGGCTTCTCAGGTAATATTATGATGGGTCTGGATGAAAGGCAACAATGGAATTCATAGATAGAAATAAAATCTCCGACAAGAGCCAAATCAATAAGTCAGAAAGTCAAAAGATAAGACAGATCAATATTAACTACAGCAATTTGTCATGCTCAGTTTGTTGGAGTGTCGTGAAGTTCTTTGCTTCTAAACTAGTTTTCCAAAGTTTTATGGTATTTTATTTTGTGTTTAAAATTTAAATTAGGACTTCTGGGAGCAAAGTCAAGATGGCAGAGTAGAGGAAGCAGCTTAGTTCTCCTCCAATAAATTTTAAAATAATGCATCAAAGCAATGTCTGAAGTGGCAAAGACAATAAAAGATCAGAGGGAGACATTGTTCTAGCCCAAAACAAGTTAGGAGTCTGAAGGAGCAGTTTGTGACAATGGGGTGGTGGTTGGCCTGGAACATGCGTGGCTGTAAAACCAGCTGTGGACTTTGAAGGCAGCAAAAGAAGCAGCAGCATCTTGAGAAGTTCTCGAACCAGAAATAGTAAGGGGATCTGGCAGTCAGAAAGAGATTACAGAGGACACCTGTCCTAGCATTGGGCACAGGACAGGTGCTAGTAGGATGGAAAGGATTGCTTGCAGTCCTAAGTCATTAAGCCATTAAGAAGGAGAATCAACTGATGTCCTACAGGAGTAGGGACCCTGAGGGGTACTATAACTTGTGGCTGTAAGGGATCAGGGGCCCTTCCTGGGTAAGGACCAGAGCAAAGACTAGGAAAGTGGTGACCACACCTCTCATAATATCATACAACCTTGAAAGCACCAAAAACCTCAAAACCCCTAGAACTAGATCTGAAAAAAAAAAATCAGTATGAAAAAGCCTGAAGCTTAGGACAGTGCCCCTCACCCCCACCCAGGGAACATAGCCCAACTTAGTTTTTAATTTAATATTTATTTTTAACATTCTTTTATTTTTTAATTTTGAGTTCTAAATTCTCTCTCTCTCTTCAGCCCCTCCCCACTCACTGAGAAGGCAAGCCAAATGATATCAATTATATATGTGAAAGCATGCAAAATATATTTCCACATTAGCCATATTGTAAAGGAAGGAAGGAAGGAAGGAAGGAAGGAAGGAAGGAAGGAAGGAAGGAAGGAAGGAAGGAAGGAAGGAAGGAAGGAAGGAAGGAAGGAAGGAAGGGGAAGGAAGGGAGGGAGGGAGGGAGGGAGGGAGGGAGGGAGGAAGGAAGGAAGGAAGGAAGGAAGGAATGGAATGGTGAGCATCCCCTCAATTTATCATTTTTTGTTAACACAAAAAGAACTGCTACAAATATCTTTGTCTGTATAGGTCCTTTTTTAACCTCTTTGGTGTACAGACCTAATAGTGGTATTGCTGAATCAAAGGGCATGCACAGTTTTATAGCCTTTTGGGAATAGTTCCAAATTGTTCTCTAAAATAGTTGAATCAGTTCACAACTCCACCAACAGTGCATTAATATACCCTTTTTCCCTTATCCACTCCAACATCTATCATTTCTGATAGATGTCAAGTGGGAACTCTTAGTTATTATAATTTGAATTTCTTTAATTGAGTGATTTAAAGCATTTTTCTTATAAGCATAAATAACTTTGATTTCATCATCCGAAAACTGCCTGTTCATATCCCTCAACCATTTTATCAATTGGAGAATGACTCTTGTTTTTTTTAGAAATTAGACTCCATTCCCTATATATTTGAGAAATGAGGCCTATATCAGAAAAATTTGCTGTAAATTTAAGTGACCTGACCAGGGTCTCACAGCTAATAAATATCTGAAGTAAGGATGTCTACTATCACCACTAATTATTCATTTCATATTGTACTGTAAATGCTAGCTCTAGCAATAAGACAAGAAAAGAAACTGAAGGAATAAGAATAGGCAATAAGGAAACAAAACTATCAATCTTTGTGGATGATATGATAGTATACTTAGAGAACCCTAGAGAATCAACCAAAAAAACTAATTGAAACAATAAATTTAACAAAGTTGCAGGATATAAAATAAACCCACATAAATCATCAGCATTTCTATATATTACCAACATAACCTAGCAGAAAAAGATAGAAAGGGAAGTTCCATTTAATATAACTACAGGCTAAAATTACTCCAAAACTCTTGAGAGTCTACTTGCCAAGACAAACCTGAAGACTCTATTTACACAAAAGATCAGAAACATTCATGGAACCAATGAAAATATGCTGAGGAAGGTTAGCTGTCCCAGATTTCAAACTATATTACAAAGTCATAATCACCAAAATGATCAGGTACTGGATAAGAGATAAAGTGGTGGATCAGTGGAATATTATTAGTACACAATAAACAGTAGTAAATAACCATAGCAATCTAACGTTTGATAAACTCAAAGATCCAAGACTTTAGAGGCAAGAACTCACAATTTGACAAAATTTTGAGGGGGGGAATTGGAAAGCAATTTGGTAGAAAGTAGTCATCGAACAATATCTTAAACCATATACCAAAATAAGGTCAAGATGGGCACATTATTTAGACGTAAAGGTTCAATATTTAAGGGAGTGCTTAAAAATTTACTTGTCATATCTATGGATAGTGAAGAGTTTATGACCAAACAAGAGATTCAGAGGATCATAGGAAGTAAAATTGATAATTTTGATTACATGAAATTTAAAAGTTTTGTACAAATAAAATCAAAGCAGAAGCAAAGCAGACTGAAAAAATTTCACAGCAAGTTTCTTTGATAAAGGCCTCATTTCTCAAAAATATAAAAAACTGAGCCAAGTTTATAAAAATATGAGACATTTCCCCATTGATAAGTGGTAAAATAATATGAACAGGTAGTTTTCAGAAAAAAAAAGAAATCAAAGCTATTAAAAGTCACATGCTTTGTTCAAGTTTACATAGGTCTTACGGATCACTGGTCTGTCAATGCCTTTTTGGATGTTGACTCTATCATCCTGTTCAATAACCCTCCTATCATTATTTCATTTACATATTTAATGAGCATACTAACTATTCTTTAATCCAAATACAGATCCCTAGGGTACTCCACTGATTACCTTCTGACATGCTGACACTAATTCATTAAGAACTACTCTTTGAATCTAACCATCCAATCAGTTCTTAATCTAGCTGATTATACTATCATCTAATTCATATCTCCCCATAGTCTTCATAAGAATAATAGGATATATGTGAGACAATTTATTGTTTTGTTAAAAATCTAGGTAGGGCAGCTAGGTGGCATAGTGGATAGAGTGCTGGGCCTGGAGTCAGACTCATCTTCCTGAATTCAAATCTAGCCCCAGACACTCATTAGCTGTATGACCCTGGGCAAGTCACTTAACCCTGTTTGCCTCAATTTCCCCATCTGTAAAATTTGCTGGAGAAGAAAATGGCGAACCATTTACATATCTTTGCCAAGAAAACCCCAAATGGGGTCACAAAAATTTAGACACAACTGAACAACAACGACAAAAATCTAGGTATTCTGCCTCCGCAGCATTTCCCTCAACTACTAGTATAGTAATGCTGTCAGCAAAGGAAATGAGGTTGTTCTGACATGACTTGTTTTTGGTGAAGCATGCTAGTGTTTTGTAACCATTGCTTCCCTTTCTAGATGTTGATCAATCATCTCTCTCAGAACACTTTCTAGACTTTCCCCAGGAATGGAAGTCAATCCTACTGGAGTATGTTCAATTCGCTTTTTTGAAAATAGGGATTTTTGCTCTTCTCCAATCTTGTGGTATCTCTCCTATTTTTGCTATCTTTCAGTTGTTGCCGGCAATGGCTCAGCAAACATATCTGCTAGTTCTTTCAGGACCCAAAGATATAGTTCATCTGGGCCAAGGGATGTGAGTTCTTCAAGGGTATCGATGAATTCTCTTATTATATTCTTACTTAACTGGAGTATCAACTCCCTGTTAATCATTATTTCTGCCATTTCTAGTGCAAAGGTCATTCTCCTTTTCAAAAAAAAAAAAAGCAGAGAAAAAAAAAACTAGAATTGACTGTCTCTGATTCCTCTCTGTTGTCAGTTATGATCAACTCATCTTTCCTAAGGAAAGCTTGTATTCTACCTTTCATCCTTCTTTTTCTCCCACTACAGCTTTAAAACCCTTTTTTTGTTATTATTGTCTAGTTTTCCTTCTCATCTCTACTCATTCATTGCTTTGTAATTCCTGATACTATCATTACATGAGTCTGCCATCCTCTTATTTTCATCTCCTGTTACCTAATTCCAATGTTCTTTCCATTGTATCATCCAATAAATGACTTTTCATATGTATAGATTCTGTCAGACAATCAATCATTGTTTACTATGAACCAAACCCTATGCTAATCCCTAGGGATAGAAGGAAAGGAAAAAACATTGTCCACATATTCTGAAGGAGGAGACCAAATGCAAATAACTAGTTTGGGAATGAGGATAATGGGATTTAATAGGCTCTGAGCAACTATGAGGCTTCAGAAAGTACTTGGGAATGATTACCTAGGATTGCTAGGCCATCAGGCAAACATCCTATATTACTTATATACTTTCAGTCTGTGCAGAGCTCACATTGTGTAGACCCACCAGAGACCCTCCCACCTTCAGAGTTCTATACCTGATTCCTCATGGGGTACATCTCAGGTCCAAATTCACAGCTCCAAGTTTCATTATGAAGACCTAGAAGAAAGGGTATTATGGTTGGAGTCAAGATAAAAAGCAATAGTTTCACACCTGATAGGGTGAAATCTTTTTAAAGGAAAAATGGGTATGCCATGCCATGCTTTTGATTAACCTTCTTTGTCAATAAAGAAAGCACAGATGGATGGAGACCATCTGTGTTTATATATTCCAATGATTTAGAGAATTGTGTGAAAATAGCTATTCAGAGCAATTATGTGGCATTGTATAGTCAAAATACCTCCCTGATTGATGACCCATTCTTTTACTTTCAACTGACTGTTTCGATAAACTTAGAGATGCAGATTAAAAATCTGAGGTGTATTCTCTTTAGTTATAAAAAAAAAATCATTGAAAGAATAACAAAATACTAAGACAGAGGGTAATTCATCGTGAATCAGTCTGACCCAAGATATATTTGTGTCCAAGCAACTCCTATACTGGGTATATAAGTGTGTGAAGGGAATGAAGAAAGTATGGAGCACTCCTTCTAGCAATACGGACATAAAAGCAAAGAGAGAGATAAGATGATATGATAGCTTGAGGTAATATTGGGAGCAAGGAATTTGTTTTAGGATAGTAGAGCTTTGAACATATTTGTAGGCAGAGAGGAATAAGCCCAAAAAAGTAGGAGATTAAAATAATGCTCCAGTGGAACAAAGTCCTAGGAGAGATATGAAGAGAGGTGATCAAAAGCATACAAGATTCATTCATTTATCCTGTCGCGTTTGGGTAAACCTCGGTGCACAAATGTATGTGAAGCTCATCAAACACCAAAGAAAAAAATGACATACATCCAGGCACTCTCATTATAGTTAATGAACAGAAAGATCATGGTAATGGAGTTTAGCATCAAACTCAGATTCTTAAAGTAAATTATACAGATTTTATTTTCACTTCAGGATCCTTCATAAATGTTCTCATGTTGTGGAAGAAACAGAAGGCATTGTTCCCTGAAGATCTGCAGAATGGATGTAAACTTGTGTTCAGTTGCTGAGAGTGAGACGCTCCGAGCAAACAGATGTCAAAACAAAAAACATATTTAATCCCAAGAATCTCATGCTTGTAGTAAGTGGCAGTTGCAGGGCAGCCTCACAGCCCGTCAACACTGTTCTCACTAATCCCAGTGCCACACCTGGCTGCTTTAAGTGGAGCCTGCATTTTAGGACTTCATGCCAAAGCCTTGAGGCAATGGGCAGTGATGTAATTTTGTGTGCTTTATAAAGCTTCTACATAATATAAATAACAGTGTGAAAACCAGGACAAAATACTTCCTACAATGTCTCTCCTAGGGGATTACACTGAAAATGGATGGCTTTTTTCTTCCATTTGTGTAAAGGGCAGCATGATCACGGGAAAGAAATCCAGCTTGGCAGGCAGGACACTGAGGTTGTTCCCTTGATTCACTGTGACCCTGTGAGCCTCAGCAGGCACAATTTCCCATTCTGTGAGAAGCAATTAAAAGTATCTACCTTCCTACTGCCACCATCTCATTCCAAGATACAATAAAGGGATATAGCAGGATAAACAATCAAATACATCATTCAAAGTGTTCTGGAACATGATAGCTTTCCTCAATAATAAATCCACAAAAATTCTGAGCTCCATAAGCCACTGCAAAAACATTTACCTTCATTCAGCTACGTTTTCAATATGTTAGCACAGTGCCTGGAATGTAGCAAGTACTTAATAAATGTTTGTCAACTGATTTACTTGTGGAGGTCATTCACTCATAAATGAGTTACTTGTAAATGTTAAAGAGTGAAACAACCTTCTGATGAGATGGCTATAAAGAACACTGCTTGGAATATTTTGGGGAATAATAGAAGGACTGTGGTATGTTCATGTAACTCTTTTGCTTTTTCTTTTCTAGCTAAGAAAATAGTCATCAAGTTTTCAACATTGGACACAGTAAAGTGGGAATTTGAGATCAAGAAAGAAAGAGGAAGACCATCTAGCCTCTTTAACATAGTTCAAGGCTCCTGTATCAAAAATATTATGTCCCCAGCTTCTGAAAAAAACTTAGGGAAATGCTCTCAGAGGCCCAATCAGTAATGTTCAATAAATTAAAAGGAATAGGAGAGAAAACAGAAGCCTAGAGATGGGATTCTCTCTTCTAGAGAAAAGAGGCATAGCCCAAAAGAGAATAAATCAAAGGTTAGGTCAATCGAGCCAAAATTCACCAGGATTGCCAAATCTAAGGGATTAGGTGAGAAACAGGAAACAGTATAAATTACGATTTAAAGTCCAGGTATCATCTTGGAGACCTGCTATAATGGGGAGCAGTAGGTGTTGACACAATGATAATTTGTCTGATGCCCCAAGGGATGTTAATTTTATTGCTGTAACATATTTTCCTGCCTCTCCCTTATTTCTTCATTGGCTTGAGAGCTAATTATTGAACAGACTGTTCTTTTCTATACACTCACAAACCAAGTGATTATTAGGAGGTAACCTGAATTGATTACTAAAAATAATCACTCACATTTATGTAAAATATTAAGGTTTAAAAAGCACTTTTCTTAATTCAACTTAATGGGCATTTATTAATTGCCTTCCACATGCGTTGATTGCCTTTTTAAAGTCCCCATCCCCTTTAACCTCTCCACAGCCTTTGGTACTTCTGATAATCCTCTTTTCCTTGATACTCTGATTGTCTCTTATTTTCTATAATACTATTCTTTCCTGGTTCTCCTCTCATCTGTTGGATCATTCTTTCTCATGCTCCTTTATTAGATATTCATCCAAATGGGGCTTACTAACAGTGGGTGTACCCAAAGGGTTTTTTTTCCTGGGTTTGTTTTTCTTCTTCTATACTATTTGATGATCTCATTAAATCCCATGGATTTAACTATCACTTCTATATTGATGATTATGAGATCAACTTATCCAGCCTCAATCTTTCTCTTAACTTCCAGTCTTACATCTCCAGCTACTTACTGAACATCCCAAAATGGATGTCCTGCAGACATCTTAAACTCAACATGTTCCAAAACTGAACTCATAATCTTTTCCCCAAGCCCTCTCTTCCTCCTAACTTTCCTATTACTATTGAGGACATCACTATCCTCCCAACCCACCCAGGCTCTCAACATAAGTGTTACTTTCAAATCCTCACTCTCATTCACTCCTTATCCCCATATCCAGTGCATTGTCAAGCACTATCAATTCTACCGTTGAGGTATTTCTCACATATTGCCACTTCTCTCCTCTGACACTGCTACCTCCCTGATTGCACATATTATTACCTCACACTTAGACTCTTTCAATAGCTGCTGATTGGTCTCCCTGCCTCAAGTATCTCCTCACTCCAATCCATACTCCACTCAACTGTTTAATTCCTTGTCTTATCACTTCATTCTCCCTATTCGATAAATTCCAGCCACTCTTTATTACCCCAAAGACCAAATGTAAAATGCTGTTTGACATTTAAAGCCCTTCATAACACGGATATCTCTCACCTTTCCAGTATTCTTATGCCTTACTCCTTTCCAGGTATTCTGTGATCCAGTGACATTGCTCTCCTTATTCCTTGAGCAAGATACTCCATCTCCCAACTCTGGGCGTTTTCAAGGCTGTTCTCCATGCCTGGAATTTTCTCCCTCCTCTTCTACATCTCCTATTCTCCCTGGCACCTTCAAGTATCAAAGTCCCATCTTCTTTAAGAAGCCTTTCCTGATATCCCTTAATGCTAATAACTTTCCTCTATGATTATTTCCAAGTTATTACATATATGTATATATACATGTGTGTACACACGTATGTATGTATAAATTGATTGTACATAGTTGTTTACATATTTTCTCCTCTATTGAGCTCCCTGAAAGCAGGGACCATTTGTGTCACTTACTTTGTATTACTAGCACTTAGCACAGTGCTTGGCACAGAGAAGGCACTTCATAAATGCTTGTTTTCTGATTGCATATTCCTAGATGCTGAGAATAAACAAAAACACAAGGGAACAAAAAAGACAGTTGCTGACACTAATGAATCTTGAATTAATACAATGATTCCAAAAGGCAAAGATGAGAAAAGGAGTACATTTTAAATAGCAAAACAGCTTGTGCAAATATACAGACTCATTAATGTGTGTAGTTATCTCCATTTAATAAGTTGAAAAGAGGTGCAGAGAGGTTAAACTACTTGTCAAAAGTCACACATGGAGTATATGGTAGCAACCAAGATCTTCCAAGACTCAGAATCCAATACATTTTCAAACTTATCTAATTTTATTTTTATAGAGGTTTATGCAATAAGTATATTAGAAGAATGCCATAGACACAGTTGAAGTTGTTTTCATCAAAGCACTTGACAAGATCTCAGACGTAATCCTTGGAAATGAGATGAAGGAATGTGGGCTTGTCAGTATGAATCAGGATCAACCAGGAAAGTGATCTTTATGTAATAATAATGCAAGGTTCCATCCTTTACCTTGTCTCCTATTCAGCGTTTTGTTCAGTGATTTGTATGATGACGTACAAAGTCCGTTTAACAACTTTCAGTCACCATGAAAATGTGGATCCTTATTTAGTTCTGTAAGTGACAAAACCATGATGCAATAGAAAGTGCCCTGAATTTGGAAGCTGAACTTGGAGTCATAAGACCCAAGTTGAATCCTGAATCTGTCAATTCCTACCTGTGTGACTGGGAGAAATTAATCCACCTCTCTGGATATCAGTTTCCTCATTTAGAAAAATGTGGGAATTGGACCTCTGGGGTCCCTTCAAATTCCAAAACTATAATCCTATGAATCATTATTTAAAATGATCATTGCACTCTGAAACATCATACCTAAGTGCACAAGCTCAAAACATGAATGTAAAGTCTAGTGTTAGGATCAAGACATCAATTTCATTGGCACAGGATTAGGAATACCTGTCTTGGCAACAGATTAGATAAAAATATTATTGGAGGTTTCAATATACTGTAAGTCCAATCTGAGTCAACATTGTGATGTGAGTATATAAAAAACCTAAAATTAAAAAAAAAACTAGCAATGAAAT